ACTAATAAACTTCAAAATCAGTTTAAAGAACTGATGAAGGTAAAACATGATATTGGTATAGACTTGAACTATAGGAAATACTTCACCATCCAAACACTTTAAACTATGCAATTCAGCATTAATATATTATAAATTGCAAAACAATACTGTATACATTGTAGTAGAATGTGCATATCATAACTTTACCTTCTAATGTTTAGAAATCCTATTTTATTTGATATCTTTATAATGTTTTTAAAAAATATCTTTAGTGCACATTTTACTTAAACACCCTATGCTTATATCTTAATTTTGTAATTTTTCATCTATTTTATTATATATTTGTACGGCACAGTCTTACTTTATCTTTTGATGTTTATATAAACATTTTGTATGAATTTTTATTGAACTTTCTACGTCTTTAATTCTAAAATAGAGCAACTGTCAAAAGGCCCTATTTCCCCTGGGATAAATAATATTCTGAATGGAAATATATACAATGTCGTATACGTGTCTGTCTGTCTCTGATTTCTTTATGACATATGTTTCACAACACTGTAGACAGGAAAGCAATCAGACCAATCACATTTCTTTGACCCGGTGACCTCTGAACACATACTGCCACACACAGGTTTTAATCAGTAACCGTTTTAATGTACCTCACATAACTAACCAGGGTCGGCTCTAGAACAAATCGAATGGGGGGGAAATCATTTACCAAGGGGGGGCACACACTGCCGTCAACAACCAACACACAAACACCAACGCAACTTCAATTTAAAAAAACATGCTGTAAAGTCTATTGTCTTTCACACACATTGCAGGGGTGTAGTGCTATTTTATAGCACACTTATGACTTGTGCTGGTTTTTTTTCTAAGTGTGGCCCTAATACTCCGTCGTATTAAATACATCAGAAATAAAGAATACAAATATAAAACACAGCCTGAGGTGTGCTCACTGCTGCTCTCTGATTGGTGTGTTGCTTGACCAATGACCCCCGACCTTTGTTTTGTTATCATTACGTGGCTGTGTGTTTAGATGAAAGCCCAGTGGCGATCTGTTCATCTGTTATACTGATTATACAGTAAAGCCATCGAAAATAATATGATATACAGTACAGTACAAGTACTTCTGGGTCTCTGTGTTTCATTCAAGCTCGGCTCTGTGTGTGTGGCACGAGCGCATTTTGTGAGTGCGCGAGCGGTAACGTGGAATGTTGTTGTTAGCATCTGGTTAGCTAGCTATGCTAACGGATATAAAGAGCTGTTTCTACACCAAGGTGGAGGAGAGTCCTCTCCTGTCAGACTGAGAGGATCTTATAACGTCAGCTGAGTGAGGTAAAGGACTCTCTCAGTGTTTAGATAGTTAACTTTAGTTATCTCAAGAATACAGTTTAAAAGGGGAGTGATTAGTAAAATATACATAAATAAAAATTAAATCTGTTTACAGTTCTGTTTGATATGGGTGTTGAGAGATGTATCCATAGATCTCTTCATTTTGCTCTCAAAGTGCACCAGATTGATGCATTTAACTTCAATATTTTAAAAATAATCTTCCCGGGGGAGCATGCCCCCAGACCCTCCTAGAGGAGGTTAGGTCCACCCCCCACCTAAAACATGTTCACATGGATAGGATACTAAATACATTTGCACACTTTTTGTATGGTGGCCTATGTCCATATGTTTCTGTTTTGGTGGTCGTGCCACAACCGTGCATATATGCACAAGTCATAGGTGCGCTATAAAATAGCACTACATCCCTGCAATGTGTGTGAAAGACAATAGACTTTACAGCATGTTTTTTTTAATTGAAGTTGTGTGTTGGTTGTTGACCGCAGTGTGTGCCCCCCCGTGGTAAATGATTGCCCCCCCATTCGATTTGTTCAAGAGCCGACCCTGCAAATAACATGATATCCAAACCGTTTAGTCTACACAGAGGCACAAGACAAGAATGCCCCCTATCCCCTCTTTTATTTCTGTTTGCTATTGAACCACTAGCTTTGGCTATCCGGCAAAATCAGAGCATTTCGGGTGTGAGGATAGGTGAATCTGAGCATATGATTTCCTTATTTGCGGATGATATTATTATTTTTCTGTCCAAGTTGACAACATCTATTCTATCCCAACACTTGTTAGCCTAATCAATTCATTTGGGGAATTCTCTGGATATAAGGTCAACAATTCTAAATCCACCATATTATTTTTAAATAAAAATGAGAGACAAAACCCAGGGATACCCACCCCCTTTTCAGCTACTCAGGAGGGTTTTATATACCTAGGAATAAAAATTGTCCCGGAAATTGAGAATATTGTCCCCTCCAATTATGACCCCATAATACAATCAGTAACAGAATCTCTGAATAGATGGATGCCAATGCCCATCTCCATGTTAGGCCGTAATAATATTCTTAAAATGTCTATTCTGCCAACATTTCTTTACCTGTTTCAGTCTATTCCTCTCCCTCTTTCACAATCATATTTTTGTAAGCTCAGGCAGCTCTTCTCAAAATTCATTCGGCTCTCCCTTTTACATCTGCCTTATGATAGAGGCGCAGCTGCGCACAGCCATGTTTTACTTCTCCTCCTCTGACCCTCCAGCATGGCTAGCCATTGAACGCAATACAGCACCGGGCCTATCCCCCCAGTCATATCTACTCTGCTCATGCTAAAAAACTAAAGAAACAGACAAAAAACCCATTTGTTAAAAATACTGTTTCTGTTTGGCATGAAGCACATGTCTATATACTGTAGGAGATGCTCCCAAACTATTCCAGTTCTCCCCAATATGGGGTAATGACAACTTTGTCCCCGGAAGAGCGGATGGGGGATTCAAACAATGGGCCGCCAAGGGTCTGAGTAGAATAAAAGACTTGTATACAGAAGGAAAACTTATGTCCTTTGATCAGTTGGTTCATAGATATGCCATCCCTAGAAGCCACTTCTTTAAATTACTGCAGTTAAAGAGAGGGAATCCTCATGACACGAATTTTTAAATAATTATCATCCGATAAAACAGACCAGTCTCTGCCAGTCTTCTTTTTTTCTTTTTTTTTAAATCCGATGACGTTATCAGTGATTTTAAACTGATTAATTACCGAAATAACATCAACCCTGTGGGCGGCGCCATTTTGACGAGTCACATGACTTATTTTAACGGAAGTGACAAGAACTATGCGTTTGGTGTCGAGGACAAATTCACGTATGTGCTTTGTTCATGTTGTTTACTCTAGTTACTCTCAGAATTCTATTGAAATATGCCTCATTGCATCGCGAAACATTGCCACAATTCGGATAGGAACAATCCACGGAATGCTCCGTGTGCACGTGCACCTGTGCTCCGTGAATG